GTGTGTGTGTGTGTATATATATATATATATATTTAGCGAGATGATTAATAATTTAATGTGTAAACACATTTTCTGACCTCGTCAGTGTTGAATGTGCTTCCACCAGCTCCTGCTGCTTGGCTCAGTGAAATGTGCTTCTGAGCAGCATTTATCTGCTGTCAGGGTTGGGGGGAGGGACTGAATCTCTGTGCGTACATGTTGCAGGAAAGGATGTGACAAACCAAATCAGCTCTGTGTTTCTCCTACCATTACACAGGCGGGGCGGCCCCCGACCAACAAGACGGCCCACCCCTCTAAGAATTTCATGGCATGTAGTCATTTTTATTTAAATAAGGCCAGATCAAGTTGAGAGCTATTTTTTCRTCYCTCCATATCCACCTCTCACCAAACTTGGGGAAAAAGACGGCGCAGAGCGAGGCTGAGCGCTGTGTGTGGTCCTCACAAAGATAGGAAGACGTGTGTGTGAGATTAGACGCGCAGCTCTGCTTTTAATCACGTTGCACACTAAACTGTAACTTTTAATAAGTACGATCCGGTTTTAGTATCAGACACTCTGCAAATTGTTTAATTGTTTTTTTTATTAAAGATGACGTCAGACAGATTTAACTGCCGCCTTCTCTGCTTTTTTCTTTTTTTTACAGCTAAAACTAGAGGATCGATCGATCGTCATCAGAGATATTGTGCGACGGAACAATTCCAGTGTAAGTGAAGTCCTCACTTTAACCCTTTCACCCTCCAAACCTTTTTTATTTCTCTTCGCTGTTCAGAGCTGCGTTACGCCGAAGAATTAAGCTCATCTGTTCCGCCGAGCCACAGAAACCTCAGAGCTGTCCTCAGTTCTGCTGCGTCATCCTACATGATGTTACATGAACGACGTGGGTCTGTGTTGTTTCAGGACAACCAATGTGGTATTGTGACCAACATCGACATCGAGTGTGCGGTGAAGCTGGTGGGAACAAACTGCGTTCTGTATCCAGTCAACAGCCAAGACCTGCAGCACATCTGGGTAAGACCGAAACAGAAACTTAGTGGCTGACGGGCCTTCGAGCTCAAAGTTTGTTTTTTATCTTTATTTTACAACCAAACAAAGATAAAAACACACAAGCTGAGGCTGATTCTACTGGAGAGTAAAGTTGGGCAATAATATGTACAATATTTKAAATTTGGCATATATCATTAATTTAGAGGGTTGGTGTCTTTTCTTTTGGGTACAAAAATGAAAAAAATTATGACTGTACATCTTATCTTGTATATTTTGATTAGTAGAGTGTCTGAAGATATATTTGGTGCAGGTTGGTGCCAGTTTAGGAAATACTGACAGAACAGTTGGGGAAAGTGCATAACCAAATTTTCAAAAAAAAAAAAAAAAAAAAAAAA